AGCCTCTCAGTTTGAGGACCAGGTGCTGGATTCTGGTAAATTTACTGGTGCAGAAGCTACCTTGGGAGAACCATTGGCCTCCAGTTAACCCTTCCTGGCATTGTCCCAGCCTCCCTGTTAGAGATCTGTTAGAACTTCTTAACACCTCCCACGCCAATCTGGGCCAAGCAGAAGCGCTGCCCAATTTCTGGGGCAAGCAATTGCTCCCTGTTGACCCTGGAGGAGGCTGAGTGTGTAAGTCATGGAGAATTGATACGATATGAACTCTGTCCCCAAGGAGCTCCTCTTGGAGAGGGACAAGGCAGTGCAAAACCAACTTGAGCTCATACAAGAAATCAGTCTTATGTGCCATCAGAAGGACTAACAGTGCGATGGGAGCCCAGAGCAGGGAGAGAGGCTCTGCTAGAGGAAAGGATTACTGTCTGCAGCATAACACGGGGGTCCTCCTCCCCGGCCCCGCATTTCATCTCCTGGGACTCCACACACCCTCATTCACATTCCAGGCCCAAGAAAGTTGTCTCCTGGGATGGCATCTCTGGGCGAGTCCTTCCATCTGCCCAGCTGCACTGGGATTGGGGCAGACAGACATGTGGCATCTCTGGGACTTAGGACCTAATGGCCTTCCCTTCCCGTGGACTCTCTTCAGACCCTCCAAACACAAAAGTCCACCTCTGCCCTCCCTCTCACGGCTGATTTCTCTCTGCTTTAAGACGTCTACGCCTGCTTTAGAGACTCTTCCAGGGTTCACTCGCCAAGTCCTCCCAGAAAGCCTTTCCACTACCTCATTTTCTAGAAAGAGAGGGAGACGCAAGCTGCATTCCCAGTGGGGCATTTCGGTACAGAAAATATTTGCTTCGTCCCAAGGGGAGGCCAAGTTCCCTTTTCTGATTGAATTTTCTGTAGACTTTCATGTAGCTCTTTGGTCACACTGACTTACAAATTTTCAAGGTTTCCTTTCCTTTCTGGACGGAATTACCCTCGCTTTCCCCAGGTAGCAAAGGAAGGAGTTGAACCAGATGGTTCAGCAGGCCTCTTCCAGCTCTGCTGACTTACAAGCCTTTGTCCTTTGTGGTTTGTGTCCGCCCTGAGCCAAGGACACCCAGGCGCTGCCATACTCATTGCCCACCTGAAACAGCCGCCTACACAGGACGCCATCAAGGGAGGCCACCCCGGTCTTGCGGTGTTTCAATCAAGGGAGGCCACCCCGGTCTTGCGGTGTTTCAATCGCAAGGTTACAAAGTAAGGTTAATGGAAATAATGCCTCCTCATCGTTTTTAACCTTTCCGAATAATGCCTCTGCGCATAAGCCAGAGGTTTTTATTTTTAAATCAATTGTGCTTATTGCGCTCTTTGGAAAAATAAATGAGAAGCTGGGAAGAAAGGAGTGGGATCCAGGGTTTATTAAGACAAAGAGGTTGGAGTGGGGTGTGGGAAGGCGGTCCTGCTGAGCCTAGACAGCTATTGCCCGCGAGGACCGGGTTAGCAGCCGAAAACCCCAAGTGGTTGCTATGGGAGAAGAGAGTTTCTCACGCTGCAAAAATGTACCAGACACATGTGGGCACAGCAGCTGTCTTCTATTACCCTCAGGCGCCCTGTGATCCTCCATCCCCATCCCAGGGAAAATGGGGCCTTCGTCCCATGGAAAGGCTTTTAAGTCTCAAAGATCAGACGTCAGATCCAAGTTCAGCCACTTATTAGCTGTGTGGCCTTGGACGGGTCACTTCATGTCTCTTCTGTAGAATAGAGGGAGTAAGACCCACTGCATGGAGTTCAGAGGATCATGGGAACCATGGACACACTGTGCCAATGTAGCCGATGGCTTGTGTAGGGGCCCATGGCTGTGAAAACCTCATGTAGGCTCACGCCCAGGGTAGTGTATAGAAGTGTGGATGGTTGGGCCAAGGGCTGGCAACCTGAGAGAACCAAGTCAAGCTCACATAAGAGGGGCTGCAATCTCAGCTCAGACCCCAGTCAGATCTACAGCTGCCTTGGGCAACTATGTCATTCTGGTGACAGCACTTGGAACAATGGAAACTCCACTGTGTATGGCTCCAAGGTGTCCGTGCTTGGTTCTCAGTTGAGCCACAAAACACACACACACACACAAACACACATCATACCATCTGCCCTCAACCCCATCTCACCACTCAGGACCTCACACTGCTTTTCAAAACCCACTTTCACTTCTTAAAGGAGAAGGAAAGGGAACTCTTTCTATCAATTGCATGGGGAAACCATGCAGAGGGTGGTCCCTATTAGACTCTGTACTGGGGCTTGTTCATTGTTACTAGCTATATCACTCTACTTAAGATAACACCCACCTAATGCGTGGCTCAGAGCAGGCTCTCCAACAGGCCCATTCGCTTTCCCTGGCCAAGCCCTTAGCTTCTTCTTTTGGCTCCTATAGACCTTGATATGAATAGAGATGGTTATTTACCAACCTGGGCCTCAGAGATGGCAAAGAGGTCTTACTGGAGAGGCCACACCCTCAGTTTCATCCCAGTGATCTGCATTTATCTGTCTTTAGCTCTTCTCTAGGGCTCTCTTATTTGTGACCCATGCCCTAATGGACCCAAAGGCAGAAGAGTGGAGCGAGGGAGAAGGGATGCAAAAAATAACTGTTTCTTCTTGCTCATCAGAGATTATTCATGAGGTTTGATCCATTGGACTCAGGGTCATTTTCATCCCCTGCCTGGTAAGAGAGGTGAGGGTGAGGGCAGACTTAGGATGGGGGAGCAGATGCTCCAGGGGTGAGAATCTGAAGGGAGAGCTCAGAGGCCTGGGGCAGTGTTGAAGGTCCCACAGAGGCTTCTGATTGTTCTGGGGATCAAGTTCTTTTTCTTAGATTCTCTTCACAACACATGGATGTCCTCGGTGTACCATCATTCCATCCTACATCATTGACGTCGCCTGGAGTTGTATGGCACGGCAGCCCTGACGCTCGCCACCACTCAAGCTTTGGCTGCCATAGCCATCACTTTGTGAGTCTGCCGTTCCTGCCTGCTGTATGGTTAAGCTTTGTGCCTGGAATGGTTTTTCACATCTCATATCAAAACTTGTTTTCTAATATTTATGCCATCCTAGAACTCCAAACTCATACAAGAAGTAATTTCACGTGTCTAAAAGACATTTATGGCTCAACTCTACCCAGACAAATGACCATCTTACTGATTGGGGCAGACACTGCTGGTTGCCTAGCTAACAGAGCTCTCTGCATCTCAAATCTTTCCTTGTTGGTAGAGCTAGCCTTCTGCTATAAGTGCCAATGTCACATACTCACTTTCCCAGGCTCCCTTGCATCAAGAGTATGGACAATGAGATCTAGTCTTTGCCAATGAGACCTAAGAGGAAATATGCAGGGAGGTTTCTGAGAAATGTTTTCCTCCCTGATAAAAAGAGATACATGAGGATAAAATGTGCCTTTTTCTTACTAGCAATATGGTTGTGTAAGGATATGATGCCTGGAACCACAGCAGTTATCTTGGGACCATGAGGAGACAAGCCTGAAGAAAATTGGTAATGATGGAAGAGTGGAAGGAAAGAAAGCTTTGTTCTTTGATGACATTGTTCAACCACTAGATAGACCTCTGAACTTTCATGCTCTGTAACTTGTTAGGTTTGGCAATTAAATGCCCTTCTCGATTAATCTGTATTGGGTGTTCTGTTACATGCAGCCAAAAGCATCGGAACTGATACATATTCACCCTCCCATCTACCACCATGAGTGTGGGGAACTGCATGGTGGGGGGAAAGGAGCAGTGGGTGGGTTAGGACTCTAGCTATTAGTTCCAGCTCTTCTACCACCTTCTTTTGGTGATTCAGGGATTAGTAGGAAATAGTTTAGAGGGTCAGACTAGATCCCAGTCTTGATGAAAACTGGAGTGGTCACGAACCAGGCACCAGGGCACAAGGTCACTGCCAGTGTGCTGGGCAGAGAGGGTACAGCATTACCCCCTTGAAAGTGTCCAGAGAGTTACTCTGACCCCATGCCCACTTAGTCTATACCACCTCTAAAAGTCCTTCTCATGTGAGCAGAACAGAGATCTGAATAAGCTGTGTGGCTGGCTCTTCTTGGCTGAGGAACTGGCCAGGATGAGCCTGCAGTTGGCAGGGTTCGGAACCCACACAGGACACGGTGGAAATCTGAAAGGCTTAACTGGGGTGTGGTCTGAGACTATTGGCTGAATTCTGATCTTTGCTTTTTGAATTTTTCATGCTCTCCCTGCCTTCCATCAAGCTGGCTAGGCAAAGGATGTCTATGTCATACTTTGTCTGCTCAGGCTCAAATTACCCTTTGAGGAAACATCCTTGTCTAGAGCAGGAGCCCTCACCACAAAGGGCTTAAAATCCCATCGGCCAAATGGAGAATATCTTTTGGAATCAGAATATTAGAACCGAGGACGCTGAGGCCCAAATAGGGATAGACCATTTTCTAAGGTTACCAGCTGGTTAGTGGAACAGCCTGCCTTGAGTCAGTGTCCTGGATGCCCAGTTTAGAGCATCCTATATGACACTAAATAATATACAGATCCATGTCATGGGTGTCCCAAAATAGCTGAAAGAAAGTCATGGGAAAGTGTGTTGTGAAAGTTGGGGCTGAGGGCAGACAGAGTTGTCTAAGTGTCTTACCCTCTCAGACTCTATAACTTTCTAAGACTTGAGCTCAAGCCACTGGGAGAAAGATGGCATCAGAGCTTGTGGTTCTCAGACATACACACGAGAGGCCCTCGGGTTTTGATGGGTGCCTCACTTTTAGGATTAAGTTTTACAAGATGACAGTGGCTCCAATTTGCTGTGGCATGGATGAATAATTGCCCTCTGGTATTTTCTGAAAATCAGACATCACTCATTGGTGTGCCAGTCTTGCCATGAATTCTGGTGATGATTTTCGTTTTCAGGAGCTGTACATACGATAGGGAGCTGATGGGATCTTTCACCTGTTGGAGTGTTTTATAGACTGAAATAATTCAAGAACTGCTGTCATTCTTTGTGCTTTGTAGGTCACTCAAAAGAAAATATAAGGACCAAGGAAGCAATCCATATTTGTCAGGCAAGGAGCGGACCTGGTGTTAAGAAGTCCTCGGGGGGGGCTGGCCCCGTGGCCGAGTGGTTAAGTTCGCGCGCTCCGCTGCAGGCGGCCCGGTGTTTCGTCGGCTCGAGTCCTGGGCGCGGACATGGCACTGCTCCTCAGGCCACGCTGAGGCAGCGTCCCACATGCCACAACTAGAAGAACCCACAACGAAGAATACACAACTATGTACCGGGGGGCTTTGGGGAGAAAAAGGAAAAAATAAAATCTTTAAAAAAAAAAAAAAAAAAAAAAAAGAAGTCCTCAGGGGGATAGGTTGAACTCTGAGTGACTAGAATAACTGACTGCAGTGTGCTTTGAATACGGATGGCCTGCATCTGCCCGTGTGGCATGTATATACATGCCACACAGTCATGTGTCTTATAACAGGGTAGCACCACCCAAAAACTTGCACCTACACCTGCACGAACACCCAGACCTGGGATGCAGTGTGGTGTAGAGGAAAGTACGCAAACCCTAGGGTTAAGCAAACCTGGGCTCCAATTCCAGCTCACCAGCTGATTGTCTGGAGCTAATCTCTTTCCTTCTCTGGGTCTCAGTTTCTCCATCAGAAAAATGGGGATAATTACATCAACCCCTCGAGGATTTTGTAAAGATTAAATGAGATCACTTATGAAAAAAGTGCATAGCATATAGTAGGGCCTCAGTGAATGCCAATTTCTTTCTTCTTTCCTTTTCCCTCACAATCTGCCTGCTGTTCTGGGAAATGTGATTCTGCCCCCTGGAAGTTCTGCAGGCCATAAACTTCACAGTCACGCAGTAAAGACCCAGGGCAGCGACCGGAGAAGATGTGGGGAGCATCTTCCCATCCCTTAGGCAGACACATCTGCTTCTCGATGAACAGCAATCACATCTCTCTTTTCCCCAAAGGGAGCCCGACTTCTGAGACCTTTTTAGGTATTGGGTGTCAGGGTAATAATAGTAATAGCTTCCGACTCTTGCGTCTTCACTATGTGCCAAGCATGCGTTAAATGCTTTATGTGCTTTCTTACCCTGAGCCTGTTGATGATGCGAGAATGGGCAGCATCAGCACAAGGAAACCCAGGCCTGGAGAAGCTAGGTTGTAAGCCCCAAACGAAACCTTCGCTCTTAATCGAAGATCCCGGTAAAATGTATGGGCTATGTCCACCTTTTCATCGATGCGGCATGCACGTGCATTACAAGTGTTGTCAGTGCTGCAGTGGCATTGATAATGTGCATTTTAAAATTTCAGGCTCTAGCGTAACTCAGATAGCTTTTAGATAATGTTTGCCTCCCCCTCCCCGGGGCTCCCCGCGTATTAAAATGTATGTTTATAAATTGTAGATAAGTGCCACTCAAAGTGTGGGCCTAGCTTCACTGGGGAATCCTGCTAGAAATGCAGATTCTCAGGCCCCACCCCAGATCTGTGGAATCAGACTGAGGGGTAGGTCCAGGCATCTGTGTTTTGACAGGTCTCTAGGTGGCCAGAAATGCGAGAAGCACTGGTAGGGATATTTCTTTGAGACACTGGCCATTCAGCCTTGCAAGAAAATGGAGAATTTAAACCCATCTTCCCCTGATTGGCTCAGTCAGCTGGTGGGAGGTTCCTGCATTGTGCTGAAGGCCTTATCATGCTCCTGCTCTCCGAGAACCCAGGACAGACCTGTTATTTTGCTGAGAGCTGATAAATGAAGAACGAACCATTCCTTTCTTTTTTGCCTGAGCTGCTCTCCATACCCCTTTCATCCAGCGACAATGGCAGCAAGCATGGCCTCGCTCTGAAGATTTAAATACTCAATTAATCAATGGAATATTCCATTAGCAGGATAATCAGTTGCCATTGCCCTGATCTATAGTTACATCTCAGCTGGGCCTCACAAATTGATTCCTGATGAAGTTCTAATTGACTGGACCATCTGATAAAGGGCCAGTTGGAGTTTATTGAAATAGCCGGTGAGCAGTCCCCGGGGCCGGAGCCTTTCTTAAGGGAAGGCAGGGGTGGGAAGAGGGGCAGAGGAGCATGATTTATGCCGGGTTCTCACTGCATCTTCTCTCCAGGACAATGTTTATGGGTCCCAGGTGAGGGATGAGCGCTCACAGCTGGAGCACGGGGACGAGACAGCTGCTCTGAGCCTGTCCCCAGCTCTGGGCAGCAGGTGGCCAGAATGAGGTTTGCCCAGGAGCCCTTGGGGCGATGGTTCTCAAACGTGAGTGTGCTTAAGAATGACCCAAAGAACTTCTTAGAATATGGAGTCCAGGCCCTAGTCTCAGACATTCAGACTCTCTGGGTCTGGGGCAGGGCCTAGGAATCTGCATTTAACCCATTTCCCATTGATTCTGATCCTGGGGATCTCTAGACCTCCCTTTGAGAAATACTGGCTTAGGAGCTGGTGGCTTGGAAGTGACTGTGTCCCCACGGCTCTGCTTCCTTGGGGAGAGTCTTAACTCTTTGTGTGTGGGTACAAGTGTGTATGAGTGCTGTCAAAGGCTCCCGACTTCTTCGTTGCCTGGCACCCCTTTCATTATTTTTTCACTTGTTTTGAGTGATTTTCTGTCCAAATAATTTATGTTTAACCACTCATAGACTTGCCTTCACATTTTGATTACTCAAAGACATAGATAACAAAGTATGTAATTAAAACAGTATAGTGTCATCTTTATTTGTCTCATTCATTCATTCACTGACTTATTCTCAGACATCTTTTAAGGATTATTATGTGGCAGGCATTGAGGATATCTTTTTTAAGAAAGTGAAAACAGCCAAATACATGCTTCCCAGTTGCAAGGAGCTCCTACTCCTTTGGGGAGACAGGCAGGAAAATGAAATGTAGCACTGAAGGTGAGTGCGGGACCCCTCTATGGGACCATGGTAATTTAGTAGGTTTTGTTGCAGGAAAATATATGATGCCCATTAGGTTTTCTGGAAATTTGAAAATAGTTCCCAGTTCCCTGAATCTATCCTTAAGAATTCCCCTGGCCCGGGGAGTCCCATCAGCTAAAGATGGCCCTGGGTGGTCCATGAGTGAACCCAGGGAATGGCTTCCCTCAGCTCTTCCTGTGGGGACCTGCAGGCACTGGGTGGTCTCAGGGGGCTCAATTTAGCTATAAATGATCCAGAGCTCTGTGGATCTAAAAAGGAGCTTGGCCTTGTCCCTATTGTGGAGGGAAGTCGCTGGAAGTTTCGCGCTGAGGAGGGCCACAGACAGATTTCAGCGTTCTTCTTTCCTCCATTTTCTGTTTCTTCTTTGCCTTCTCTCTCTCCTGCTCTCTTTCTTCTCTCTTAGTACACTGTGTTTTTGTATATATGCGGCTTTAATTTGTGTTTAGATATAAACGTTCAATGTTCTTTCTGTTAAAATACACTCTGGTGTTTTGGATGACGTGGGGCAGACTTTAGAGCCTCAGAGAGTGAGTCTTGATCTCGCCCCGGGGCTGTTGAATGTTTTAATTCCTTTAGACACAGCCCCGCCCCAAAGTGCCACGGGACCTGTTTGGTAGACGAAACCTTTAGTGTGGTTTAACATCCTGGTCCCATTTCCTTTGTCATGATGTTCTGCTTGTGACAGAAACTGCCAACTAGGTCAGAGAATTTTCCCTGCCATGTCTTCACTCACTTACTGTTTATTAAGTGGCTCCTACGCGTGAGGCACCATGGGAGATGTGACTGTCGTTAGGATGTGGTCTTGGCCTTCAGAGGTCTGTAGTCTAGGCTAGTGGCACCCAAGTGGGTGTGGATCCTGCTGGCGGCACTGGGGATAACCTGAGGTGGGATATGAACTCGCGTTGAAGAGCTGACTCACTCACTGGGGAAGGTGTTCCCTTTTGGACTCTTGTACAATCCTTAGGATTATTTTAAGGTGAAAGTCTCAGTGTGGTATCAGCTCCCTTTTAACGCCTCCCCAAGACTTGCTAATCTCCCTTTAAATAGAGAAAAAATAGCAAGCCTCAGACAGCTATGGATACTAGCTGGATAGTATTAAATAATATTATCAGGTTTTCATTGTATTTATTTTCTATTTGCGACAAGTGTGATGGTTAATTTTATGTGTCAACTTGACTGGGCCACAGGGTGCCCACACATTTGATCAAACATTATTCTGAGTGTGTCTGTGAAGATGTTTCTGGATGAGACGAACATTTGAATCAGTACAGTGACTAAGGCAGATGGCCATCCCTGGTGTGGGTGCGCCCCATGCAATCAGCTGAAGGCCTGAAGAGAACAAAAAGGCTGACCCTCCCTTGAGTAAGAGGGAATTTTCTCCTGTCTGACTGCCTTGAGCTGGGACGTGGGTTTTTTCCTGCTGTTGGATTTGAACTGAAACATCAACTCTTCCAGTGTCTCGAGCCTACAGGCTTTTGGCCTGGGACTATCCCATTGATCTCCTGGTTCTCCAGCTCGTCAACTGCAGATCTTGGGACTCGTCAGCCTCCCTAACTGTGTAAGCTAAACCCTCATAACATCTCTCTCCCTCTCTCCATATCTATATCTATATCTATATCTATATCTATATCTATATCTATATATATCTCATGTGTATGTATTTCATGTTGGTTCTGTTTCTCTGGAGAACACTGACTAATACAATGAGTAACACTAATATTCTATTTAAGAATTTACGTAAAGTGTCCTTATTCAATATACTTATTTCAATTAAAAAGGAGCCCATTTAAAGAAAGATATTAAGTAAGTGATAACATGGGTGGCACATGGATTTGGCAAAATGGGGAAAAGGGTTTGGGAAATGCAGAAGTTGGAAGAGGGATGCAAAGAGCCACAGACCCATGCAGGAGTGAGGAAGGGTCAAGAAGAGAGGCTTTTCCCACCCTCTGGGGTAGGGAGGGAGGCACAGATGACACCCAGGGAGGCTGGGCACAGCGCCCAGAGTGTTGGCACACTTGAGGCTGGTGTTAGTATGTACTGACTGCTGTCCTGAACAATCTCAAAATCTCAGCAGCTTACCCCAGTCAAAGGTCATTTCTTGTTCACTCACATTGGTTTCCTGTAAAGGTCAGTTGGGAAGAGCAGCCAACTCTGTTCCAAGCCTGTGTTCAAGCGCCCAACTTGGCTCAACGTGGCCCCATTGAGCAGGGCTGTCCTAGAGCTTTCTACAATGACGAACAGGTTCAATTTCTGC